ATTAAAAGCTATGCAAAAGTAAAATATTTCATTACACATTTTGTTAAACATAGTTTCCAATATCAAAAACATTGTATTGCTTTTTAAATAAACTCACACTAACCATCCCAGCCAGTAACTCTTTTAGAAAATACTTATGGCAACTACTTCCTCAAGTTCTTTCATTAACGGAAAATAAGAAAAACAAACAAATAAACTTTGATACATTTTCTCTGTATAAAAACAGGTTTTACTTCCCTTTTTATCATTTACAGATTAGAAGAAAAACACAAGCTGAGTCATTTAAGCATACTATTTTTCGTTTATCCTCTTGCCAAAAGAGGCTAACATAAAAGGAGTCCTAAGGACAATATTTGATATCTAATTATCCAATTTTATGCAATTAAGTTAAAATAATTAACAATTTGAATAAATGTCTAAAAATATCTACACTTATAATAAAATTTAATTTCAAAAATATTCAAATGCAATGGACTTTACCAAATGGTATGTATAATATTGCTTGGTTATTCTAAATACAAGCCACAGTTCAGAAAAACATAACATTGTTTTGTTTCATTGTGGTACTACATAAATGGTTTTATTTCACCATTCACCAAATCTCTTTTGTTGAGTTATTCAAACTAACTTCTGCCAAGAACACTAAGAATTTGGTGATAGTGCTTTTTTTTGTGAGAAAAACAACTCCTTTTCCTCAGAAAATTGAAAGTGCTTATCTTGGCACTTAAACCTTGTATTGAGCCTTCTGGAAAGTATTTTAAACTGTTGTTTTTAACCCAGACTTTGTGACTGAAACAGGAAAAAGTTCCATAGGTCTGTACCAAAACACATATTTACAGGGCTGATTTTCTTACTATACTAAAAATACTAGGTTGATGGCAGCAGTCTTCAAAATATAATTTCCTAGAACCATTTTATAAATTGAGTATTTATTAATGTATTCAACACAAAATTTTTCTGTAAATCTCAAAAACTTCTTATAACTAAGAAATGCTAAACATTAAGCATACATTTGTTGCATTTAAGTGCCATGTTGGGAAGGATTGTTTCACTTAATTATGTGTTCTGTTAAGAATTTTCAAAGAAAATTTACTTGACGTTATACTTTACTCCTATGCATGTCAACAAAAGTTGTGTTTCTAACACTGTAACTTCTATGATTGTATTTCCCTTAGTAGGAATGCTATATCTTTAGCATGAACAGTACATAAAAATAAACCATGTGAACTTTTTTGCAATACTGTCCTAATGATATGTGTGAATATAACTATAAAGTTTTTGGATGAAATGATGAAACTGATTAAATGAAACCTACTCCTAAAGTATTAAAAAATAGCAGACTCTATAGTCTAGTGCATGGTATACTAGCCTAATGCACATTGTAACACCAGAGTGTGCATGAAGATACAGTAAAAATAGCATGTCATAAAATTTGGGGCTGGGGCTAGGAATCAGTGGTAGAGCAGCTCCCTATGTCCATCCCTGAGGCCCTAGATTTGATCCTAAGAGCTCTAAGAAAAAAATTCTCAAAGACTACCAGGAAGCTCTAATAATTTTTTAGTCACTAATGACTAACATAAAATTTCTGAATCCTGCTACCAATGTTTTGCAGATTAAGTTCTATCTACTTTGTATGTTTATATGTTTTTCTATAACAACCTAGCTGTCTCTTTATAGGAAAACAGCATTTCAGTAATTTGTTTTTGCATAAAATACTTTTTATAAAAGTCAAAACAATTTCAAATCATATCATTGTGCTATATCAAACATCTATTAAGATATTCTGGCCTGGAATCAGTGGCTTAAACATACAGCTATGATTAAATTGTCTTATTTTTTAAAAAACATAAATGTATTTTATTAAAAACCCATGATTGCCTTTGCAAATTAAGTAAAAAATTTAAAAGTCTGATCATTCTTGCTGTGACTGATTCTGCCCAGACCCAGAAAAATCAAGAAACACTTAAATGAGTTTAATACAAGGATATAAATAGGAATCAACTGGTAGCTCTGAAAATAAAAATTATGGAGTTGTGGACTCTTTCTGATCAACAATCATATTTCCCTACTGCTACAGTTATATGAAAATGGCATACATTATATGGTTGGCATTTCAAATCATGAGGCATCCTAACAGTCCTCCTAGGTTCCTCAGAAAGGAATCATGTCAAGGAAAAGTATACCTTTGACATAACAAATAAACTTAACATTTACAAAGTTTGATTAGTATGCTGGGTCACCATCACAGAAGGCTTAAATAGAACCCTACAGGCTCTTTTTCTTATTTAAATTTAAAAGGTTGATTGTTTCATAAACAAAGAATAAATAGAATCATGTCCATAAGAAACAAAAAATTCATTTATCAGGATTTAAGTACTATTAATTGACTATTAATAGCCAAAAAGGGAATATAAGGAAAAAAAGTAAATCCTCCCTCCATGTCTTTCTCTTTTCCCTATTCACAAAGGAGTTGAGATTCTTCTCTAACCACTGGGGGTGTGGGGACATGCCATTTGTGGGGCACAATTATTTGGGGAATACTTTAGTTTCATAGTTGAAAAATTACAAAAGATAGCACTTTGAGTATTAAAACAAGTAAGGATAACAGAACATACCTGAAAAAGAACATATACATGGCCGCTGTGATGCAGAACAAAAGGACCTATAACAAGGAGAAAATACATTACTTGCAAAAGAACACTGACATCATCAATTGTGTGACTCATATAGAAGCAAAATATCCTGTTAAATCTTGTACTGGAAACAATAAGAAGATATCCAAAATTAATCACGTACATTTCATATTTTCACCTTTCAAATAAACTATAATGCTATAATAAACTATAATAATTATATAGAAAGAATTATAGATATATTTGTTTCTCACTATCTATGAAGAACAACATATCCTAATCCATGGATACCAAATTCCATAGATGTTCAAGTCCCTTATACAAAAAGGTATTGCACATAACCAAACACATCTTCCAGCACACTTCATTTCTAGATTACTTATAATACCTAATACAATGTAAGCACTATGTAAAGAGTTGCTAACACTGTATTCTTTAGGGAATAATGACAAGAAAAGAAGTCCATACGTGTTCTGTACAGATGCAGTTTTTCTTCTCAATATTTTCAATCAGGAGTATGTTGAATCTATAGATATGGAACCCATATACATGGATCGAAAACATACACACATGCATGCGCGCACACGCACACACACGCACACATACACATGTTATGTCGATTGAATAGAACAGTTTCAAAAGTAGGAATAGGTGACTTTTCAACTTGGCTATCAGAATACCCAAAAAGGTAAGTAACTTCAGAACAAGGATAATAGGTTTTATAAATTCAAGTCAGTGGATTAATCTGAAAACCTATTAACCATTATATCAAAACAAGAAGGACTTTTAACTTGTAAAATACAGTCCAACTGGCAGCCAATTATAATTAATAAGAAAAGGTCATCATAATGACATAATCATTCTTTATGGAATACAGACTAGCTATTTAAAAATTCCACTAAAAGCAGGCTTAAGAATACACACTACAGGGTGCGGGGATTTAGCTCAGTGGTTCTGGCGCCTACCTTGCGAGCCCAAGGTCCAGAGCTTGATTCCCAATACCAATAATAATAATAATAATAATAATACACATTACATCTGAATTCTTCTGAAGGTTCCCTCAAAAATGTCATAAACATATTAGACTGGTACATGGAAGGAATCCAGAACACTAGATCTAATTAAAGGCTTAGTTATCTCAACAAAGTGGATCTCTATAAAATTGTTTTTAACATATGAAAAAGGAAAAAGAAATGAAAAGGAAGTTGTAAAATGTATTCTTATATTAACAAGTGTAAACTAAGTATGAGGATTACCAATGGCTTCACATCTCAGACAAGTAAGAAATGAACAATCTTTGATCTACAAAAGACTAAACACAAGAACAAGAAAAAGGAAAATAGTAAAAAACAGCATTTTGCTATTCCCAACACAAACATCTAGTCAACTTGAGGAAAGTGCAAGGTTAGCTATTACAAATTAAGCTTGACAAGTATGCAATCTTAGCCTAAGATAAGTATTACAAATACAACCTGAATAGCTTAGAAATATATAAATATAACAACCCTCTAAAATGGTATTAATTACTGCTAAACAAATATGTATGTTTATATAACAATAATTAAATAATTTATATAAAATCTTTCCCTTATAAGCAAACTCCTTCCTTCTCCTCACCCTTCCTCTACCTCTCCTTTCCACTGCCTTTAAAAATACACCACCTATAATACATGTTTTACTAAAGTTTTTAGAAATATATGGATGTGAAATAATTTTAAGTCACAGATTAATTAAAATTAAAATCCAAATAAGTTTGTTTAATAGTTAGAATTTTCTGACCAAAACCCAGATCATGAAACTCTACTTATTTTCCATTATTCTATCCCCACGGGGTAATGTCAGCCTTCCCAGTTTTCCAGTGTTTCTTGTTTTCTGTGCATTAGTCATTGCCTCTGGAATTCTCCACATGCCTCACAAATCTTTCCCCTTTCTCTACCTTCTTTAAAGAAATATACAAAATCTCTTTTCCTCAAATTGTAGCTATGCTTTATCCTTATATGCTAACTTGTTTGCCCTTATATTAAACTGATAATTATCTTTACAAATAATACATCTGAAACTGAGAGAATAAAAATTATGTTTAAGGATGTAAGTTTAGTAAGATGGAATTAGGTTTGAATCCTTGTTCTGTATAACTTTGGGTGCTTCTTATAATATCCCAAAAGCTTAGATCCTCTTATCTACAAACTAAGAATAATTCCATGCTTTGAACTAATGAGAAGAATCAATAAGATAATGCTTATAAAAGTGCTAGATATTGTTTTTGTTTTGTTATTAACAGACTAGTGATAAAATCTAGTCCAGAGACATAGTCTGGAAAGAAATTAGTTTTAAACAGGTACCCCTCTTGAAATTTCTCAAATTTCCAACAACCAAAACTTGATTTTTTTTTAGAGAACAGAGAATCAAGACGTGAAAATCTGTACAAGCAGAAGAATAAATCTAAGAGAGCAATTCATTCCACAAGTATTTACTGAGTACCTACTATGTAACAGGTGTTTTAGTTTATCTAGAACTTACAACAGTACATAGTATCAATAAAAAGTCTCTGTCCTCATGAAATTTAACTTCCACTCAGGTAAAATGGGATAATTAAATAAATTAATATGTCAGGTAGAATGTTTGGACAAAAATATGGATAAAAAAGAGAAATGCAGGAGAGTGGAGACTGTTTTCTATAGAGTGGTCAAGGAAGCATAAACTTATTAGCAAGGACAATAAAATGAGTAATAAGCTAGGGAATCAAATCAACAGTCACTGCAAGGACTCTGGATTACATCAAGAAAGATGGAAATTTAATGTAAAATATGTTTAAAATTATGTCAATTAATTAAACATGCTCAAGAAAAAATTTATTTTTAACCAAGTGGGTTTGTCACAGCTTTCCATCACTGTGATAAAATACCTGAAACACTTTTTCCTACCTGCTTTTTTTAATTAATTGCTTTTTTATGATTTCATTTTCTCTCCTTTATTGGCTTATTTTACTGTTTATACTACATAGCTTTAAATTGCTATAGTCTATATTCAAATATTACACCACTTACCATATGGTATGAGAGTTATACAAAAATATATTTTTATCTCTAGTTTCCTGACCTTTCTGCTGTTGATACTATCTATTGTGTAAGAGTGTGTGTACAAAATAAACTCATTGCTACATTTTTATCACTTTTAAAATCTGGGGCTGAAACTGTTTGTACTTTGTTTTGAAACACACTTTTGCTAGGTATAGGACTCCAGGCTAGTGAGTAGGAAAGTGATCATTATGTACTGTAAAAATGTACTAATAAAAAATAAACATTGAAAAAATAAAGACGAGGTTGATGGATTGTTTTCTTTCAGCATTTTAAAGTTATCACTCTAATGTCTTTGCTCTCATCATGTTCCTTGTACTAGAGTTTCATCAACTTTTTTGGATGGGAGTTTACAGTTTACATCAAATGTGAAAAATTTTCAGCTGTTGTTTGATAAAATATTTTTTTCTTCTCTATTTTCCCTTCCTTCAGGGACTCTAATTCATTGCCTGAATCTGTCCCACAACTTATTCTGAAAAAAATTCTTTTCCCTTTCATTTTGGATTGTTTTCTATTGTTGTATCTTAAAATTCACTAATAGTTCTTCTGCAAGTATAATTTGCCATTGATGCTATCTAATAAATTTTGCACCTCACTGTAATTTTCATTTCTAGAAATTTGATTTAGGTTATTTTATTTTTCATATCTCTAGCTTCTTTAAACTATTGGATTTATAATTCTCTTTAATGTCTTGCCTGTTAACATCTTTGTCAGATGTGACTTGGTATTAACTGACTGATTTATCTCTTCATTATGAATTAAATTTTCTGTTTCTTACTGTACAATGGTAATCATGTACTTGATGTCAGGCATTTTGAATTTTACCTTGATGGACACTAGATATTTTGTATTTCCATAAAAACTTCTTAAGCTTTGTTCTGAGACACAGTTTAATCAAGTCCTTTTAAGGACTTGTTTTTAAAATATTTTAGGAGTTCCTGCAGTAGAGCTCAATCTAGGGCTAATAATTGTCCATTACTGAGATAAAACCTTACTTGTTCTTTACCCAATGCAACAAGATTCTTGAGATTTTCTAGCATGGTTTGCTAAAAGGAATAGACACTATTCCTACTTCTGTTTGAGTACCAATCACTCAAAGACCTCTAATCCTTTAGAGGTTGTTCTTTCCTTGGCCTGGGTTAGTTTCCTCACATGCATGTCCTAACCTTTAATGAGCTGAGTATGTTCTTCCCTAAACTTCTGTTCTGTGAACTCTGTCCGACATGGTCTGCCCACACTTTCAAACTGATTTCCTTAACCAAATCCTGACTGACTCCTCTTTGCCCCATGACTGGAAAATTCTCTCGAGGTATAAGCTCTGGTACTAATAGGGTTCCTTTCATTTGTTTCTCAAATCTCAGGGATCCTTGTCCTTCAGTATCTATTATCTAGCTTCTTAAAAACCACTGTATTTTTGTTCACTTTTTCAAATTGTTCAGTTGCTTCACTTGGGACAATAAATTCAATCACTGCTAATATATCTTGGGCAAAAGTAGAATGTGGTTAAATTAAATAATATTAAATTCAATTTCATACTATCCATATTATCATGTAATATACAGCCATAGGGGGTAATGGCTACCGTCAAAGACAGAATGGAACAGACCATCCTTATCACTGCAAAAACTTCTACTGGACACCTATACTAATGAATGACTTTTTCACTGTGTAGTTTGGCAATGTTATATAGCACTTCATTTATTTTAATTCTGACTTTAAAGTATATGCCTGCACACACACTTTTATATTTATATCTTTTTATACATTTGGTAAATCAACACAAAACACAACATCACTTAATTTGTTCATTTGTAGTAATAATACTGCTTATTACATACATTCCAAGGATTAAATGCTACAAGGCCAGAGATTTAGCTCAGTGGCACTGCACCTGCCTTGTAAGCACAAGGTCATGAGTTCCATCCTCAGTACCAGAAAAAAAAAAAAAGGAT